TTAGTGATATCCTTCAAATGCATGTCTTCAGTCTTTTTAACTATTTGCTACATTTATTTTGAATCATATTTTTATGTTTATTTTGGTGGGGTGGGTACCAGAGACAGTCAACCACTGAGACACATCCCAAGCCTATTTTGTATTTTACTTAGAGACAGGGTCTCACTGAGTTGCTTAGTGCCTCACTGTTACTGAGGCTGGCTTTGAACTCACAATCCTCCTGCCTCAGGCTCATGAGCTGCTGGGATTACAGGCATGCACCACTATACCAGGCTGAACCATATTTTAAAATATCAGACATTAAAGCTTGAATCAGGAAGAATTGGAGCAAAAGATACAATGAGAGAAGGGGAAGAAATGAGGGAGGTGAGCATGAGTTGGGGCATAGTAGGGAATGAAGCCCTTCCCGTCCTGCTCCTGATCTCACAATACTAACCCATTCCCTCCCACAAGCCGGCCACCATCACTCTTATCAACCTACTTCTCCAACAAAATGTAAGAGATTTTTTTTTTTTCATTTCTGTCCTCTTTCCTCAGTGACAGATAGATACTTCAGGAACAAATAGATAGATTTGCTTGAGAAAAAATCCATTTCCTACTCCAAAATGAATTTTAAATGGAAAAGGACTAAGGGAATCCACTTTTCATTTTATATTTGCTATGTGCTTAAGTTTTTGCTGTGTCAACATGCCAGGACTTTTCCAAGAAGGTGTTCCCTGCCTCTTAGGGAAGGCGGAGGCAAGTGGTTCCTCTCTCTAGAAGGTACCCTGAAGCTGGATCCTTCCCCAGGTAGGGTCTGGAGCCACGGCCACGGATGCTGGACCACACCCACTGCTCAAGAGACAGCACAAGACAGTGGACACAGTCTCCCGAGATCGGAGCTCGTAAAGGCAGGATGACATCAGCCTCTCAGCTCCATATGACAGAGGCACAGACTTATCTCTCTCACTCAGATTTCCCTTTGCTGAGTATATTTTTTGGACATTTAGGAGCAGTGAAATTTGCATTCATAATATTGTATTTTCTTTCTGAAAAACAATAAAAATGTAATCTCTTTATAGCAACTGCTTAAATCTTTAACCTTGGCTTCTCATCCAAGATGACATAACACGTATGAATTGTTTAGGAACAAAAATCAAGAGTAATGATTTCTAATAGTGAAGTGATAGACCTTCTTTATCATGTGCTCCTACTGGACTGGTAAGCTACACTGGCTTAGTAAATACTATCCTGAGAAGAGTTCTATTTTCTTTTATATTTCACTTTCTTTATCCATTCCTGAATATATAGTTAATGGAAACAAGCCCAAAATATCAACTTATCTTAACATTATCCAATGATGGAGGAGTCTGAGTACTGTAAAAATCATGTCAATGTCATTGTCTAGAATATTCCTTAAAAACAGCCTTCTCTTAAAGAAAAGAAAAGGCAACTATAACTGTCTAAATGAAGATTCAAGATTGGGCTAAGAGACTAACAACTCTGTCCAAGCCACTTGCCACTCTATACTTAAATTCTGTCTTATTCTGTTTTCTGTTATTACAAAAAATAATTGATTCTGGGTACTTTATTAAAAAAGGGGGTGGTGTTATTTGGTTCAGAGTTTTGGAGACTGCAAGTCCAGGACTAGCCAGTCCCATATGTTCAGCTCTGGTCAGGGCCTCCTGGCAGTGATACTACAAAGGCAGGAGTTTGTATGGAAGAGATCATGTGGCAAAACGAGAAGCCACAGAGATTCGTGGACCAGGATCAGTCTTTTAACAACAATCATCTCAAAGGAACTAACCAGGTCCTCCCCACCACATCAATCCCTTTCCACCAGACCCCGTCTCTGAAAGGCCCCACCATCTCTCCTCCTCACCACACTGAGGACCAAGCACAGCAACTCAGGGGGACAAGTCAATCCAGACCACAGCAGGCCTTAGCAGAGGGAAATGGAATGGAAGGAATTGGAGAGAGGAAGAAAGCAACTGGCCTTTTAAGGCAAGAAGGATGTTGGCCAAGTAGAGCCCACCCAGTAGGTGGCTTGACCATATTTGGATCAAAACTTCCAGGTCCTTGGAAGGCAGAGATTCTATAAATAATAATAATTGTTGAAGGTTGACTTAAGAGTCTAGTCTCTAAGGACAATGCACCTCGGAATTCCTGGACTTCTCCCAGGGTTGTACCAGATCATGCCAGCTGCTCTTTCTGACCATGATGCTTTCCCTTGCACCCACTGGGGTAGTCCTCTCCATGCCTGGCACAATATCACCTGATCCTTGAGGTCATTTTTGACCACACCTGGCTGAGTTTGTGACTCCCGTGGCAGTTTTCCTCCTGTGCTACCCTAACCATGGTGTCAGCCTGAGAGTAGGACACCACGTTAGGGCTAACTGTATGGAGGGCCCTTTCTTCCACTAGGCACAAGTTTCTAAAGTGCAGGAGTTGCTGTGTTGACCTCTTGTCTCCTGTCTGGTTCGCCAAGGCACACACTAAGTGTTCGGCAAATGCTTACAAGATAAAACTACTGTAAGCAAAAGCAGCCTAGGGAGGTTTTTATTTAAAAATGTGAATAAAGATCTAGGAGTTTCTAGAAAAAGCAAGAATGTAAATAAACTCATACTAAAACCTAAAATCTTCTATCATTATGTAGGCATTTGCACCCATTTGGGTATATTGTCAACATTATTTTTCAATAAATGGAAAAACAAATTCCTTGAAAGGTTATATACACTCACACTTTGATAACTTAATTTTGGCCTCCTCCAGGGCTGCTTTCTTCCTCTCCTAGTCAAACCTGATCATCAATGTGATATGATTCATAAATATATTCAAACGAGAGAGGAGCCATGGGCATGGTGGTGCACACCTGTGATCCCAGTGGCTCGGGAGGCTGAGGCAGGAGGATCCAGGTTCCAAGCCAGCCTCAGCAACTGAGAGAGCCCCTAAGCAACTCATCAAGACTCTGTCTCTAAATAAAATATTTTAAAATAGGTCTGTGGATGTAGCTAAGTGGGTAAGCACCTTGGGTTCAATCCCCTGTACCCAAACACACAACAATGACGACAAAAAACAAAGACAAATAAGAGAGGTGAAATCATACTGCTTTTTGTAGGAGGATGGAAGTTTAATGAATTAAGGAAGAAGTTAAAGTCTCACTGATTTTGATGAGTTTTGGTTTGTCACTTGCCTGATAAACCCAGAAACCTGGGAAATCACAAGCCCTGGTTGCATCTTGGCTAAGGAAACCTGCTCTGGCTACAACAGACTCTTTCCAAACCAAATATTCTCTTCTTGTGCTTCCTGTATTGCTACTACTTGTAGCCAGCAGCAAAAGCCAAAGCTCTGAGTGAGCAGAGAAGGATGGAGAGTCTCCTGAGTCTGACCTACCCTTGTTCTCACCTCACCCTCAGCTGAGGGCGTACAAAGGGGGCCCTTGACATGCACCAGTTTAGCTTCTTCAGCTACTTTTTCATCACAGCGCTACACGTGTATGCTCTTAATGGCAGCATCCCAAGTCTTGAGTCATACATCAAGAAGACATAATCATGCTCCTGTGGTACTCAGATTTCAACTAATAAACTAACTAGCTCTCTACTCTTCTGCCATTGAGTCTGAGACACATAGACGTCGTTAAGAACCATGACAGGCTTGGTAAGTTGGTGGCAGCAGGGAGGGAAAAACTAATTGTAATAAGTGGAAATAACTGATCTAGAAAGATCAGCCATGAAAGGTGGGAATGCCTGCAGCTTGAGCTTTGGAAGAGTTATGTTTCTCCTGGTGAGGCAAGAGGTTTCTGAGGGGTAACAATTGAAGAAGTCATAAAATTAATGCCACAATGGAGGTATTTTGGAAAACTGTAAATTTGGCTTACGTTCGAGACTACCCATGTCAAAAATTCATGAATTTGTGACCTGGAAGAAAAGCAAAATTGTCAGAGTGTCCCCACTGCTGTGAATGTGTGGAGATACACATGGAGCCTGTCTCTTTATCTCACATTCTGCATACACATTCACACAAAGGCCCTTCTCAAGACTGGGCTGAGAGTGTTATTCTGAATATTCATGACATAATGATTATTAATGTCACTGAGGTGATTTCATTCCTACTTGGCAGAGACAAGTTTTTATACCTAGAAACCGAATAAGTGTTAAGAGAAATGGCAGCTTTGCACCAGCCCAGCAAAAGCAACTCTGTATATTTTAGTCTTGAAACACAGATTATTTGACTAGGTACTTTTAATTATCCCCTCCTGAGCCCCATCCCATTATTAACCTTATCCTGGGGAGATTTCCAGCTTTGACACAAAATGCAACATCCTTGGGAGCACAGGTTCCAGAGTTTATAACTGTATCTTGATTATTACTTTCTTTCATAGGAGTCAAAATTAAACAAGGCATAAAGAGGCTCTAAGAAGTCTCAATAGATTTCTGGGGGATGATTTTGTAAAAATGCTTTGGGAGAGAATTATGACATATTTACAACTTCTATTATTTAAAAAAGCATTTAACACAACAGGCCTTATGAAATAGCTCTTTCTAAGAACCACAGACTTGAACAGTCACACAGAGAATTGAAAAACAAAAACAAAAACAGCAACTGGTGATAGTTAAGTAGGTCCTTGCACATCTGTTGTCGACTCCCCAAGAAACTGACCTGTCTGGTTATTCTACATGCATGATATTGCATCAAATAACCCAAAACTATTGTTTTCAATTAAAGTGACTTATATTTGGTTAGATAAAGTATGTGCTTTGGGCCCTAGACTGAAAAAAAAATTATGTTAAATAAGTCAGACACAGGTGGAGGTACAGGGCAGTGGAAGATGCCTACACCAGTTCAGTGCAGGATTAAAAAGTTTTGGTTAGCTTCTTATACTGTACTGCCACATCAACACTCATCTTTGCAGAACAATCCTACCCTTAGGAAGGCAGCAGCGAAAACTACAAGGAAGAGTGCCTGACCCAGGAGGACCCAGGGAAGATGGCAGGAGGAGGCCCTTGTGCCACGGGACTGACCTGAAGCACCCAGTGTCATTGCGCAGCACCTGCGATGAATGCAGCTGTATTTTCTGATCATCCTGAAGAGGTGAATTTTCCCAGCCTGAGTGGGGGATAATCACCACATTGGTCAATACTTCCAGGGCGTCCTGGATGATTGGCATTTTGAGTACATCATATGACGAGAGGTTCCACAGGACTCCTGCAAGAGACACACAAGGAAAGAGTTGGTAGCTAACAGTCGTTCTCATCTCACAGTGTTTTCCTCTCTGGAGTGAAAGGCACTGGCAGGAAGGAGTGAGGCAGTGTGTGGGGGTGTGTCTTAGAGCCTGATCCTAATTCTAGAGCACCCATTTGAACCTTCTAGAAGCGTGCTGTGAAAGACAGGTGAGCAGAACAGGGACATGACTGTCTCTGTCTCATCATGAAGAACAACTAACTCCAGAGGGCTGGTTGAACTGAGGCTCTTACCTTGCTTCAATAAACTTCTAATATGATGGACCCAAGCTTCCAACTTGAATCCAAGACCAAAGACGTGTGAAAGTTATTCAGAATAGTCTGGTAGGTCTTTGTTTTACCCAGCACCTCAGAATGCCTGTGTGGCTGACCTCGTTCACCCAGCTTCTACACACCAGAAGCTGCCATTAAATGGACACCTGAGACTCCAGCAGGAGACTGATGGCAATTAGCACATGAAGCAGTTTGAACATGGTGTCACTGTGACAGCTTTGTCAGTTTTTCTCTGGATGCAAGCTCATAAAGGACCTCTAGAATGTTCTTTCTTAAACGGTGATACAGGGAGCATGGAGGGCCTGTCTGCCATGGGCAGAGAGGAGCAGTAATTAAGGTGGGCAGGGAAAAGAAAAATTGCAGACATGTGGAACGTTTAGGTTTTTAGATACATGTTTTCCAAAATGAGACTAATTCTAGAACTGGCCCATGGGCATTGCAGGTTATGACATCATTTGAAAATGCTTTTAAAATAATGGTTCTATTTTTTGCTCAGAATAGTTCACATAAAGCAAAAAGAAACAGCACACTATTCTGTTCCCCTACTGATGAAAGCCTTTTGCTCCTGCAGCCTAAACAGGCATCAGCACTGCAGAGATGGTGATCAAATACTGTAGTTGTCTTTAGAAAAAATGACTTCTAGCTTTAACAAACTCTCAGTCTATTTTAACCAGATGAGATTTCATTTTACCCACCATCTGATGAATAGAACATATAGAATAAACTTCGTTCTGAATTTTTTATTAGTTCTTTACAGATGTGGAACCAACCAGTAATACAAATGTGACTGTTAATCATTAATTAAGCAACTATCACAGTGACTATAAAGTTCTATAAAAACATGACTGCAGAGACAAATCCCTTTAACTGTCTTTAGAAGTAACATTTACTGGAAATGTCACTTAAGTGAATACAACAGAGATGAAATGGTTTTGGTGCCTGTGGTCTTTGAATCAGTCCCATAAGGCCCGGGGTTACCTTGAGGGAAAATCTGGACTGCTTGTTTGGGTAAATAAAGTATTTTTGTAACACAGCTGTGTCTATTAATTTGTGTATCTTTTGTTTGCTTTTGTTCTCAGAGGGAGAGTTCATTATTTGTGACAGAGACTGTGTGGTCCACAAAGCCCAGTAAATATACTACCCAGCCCTTCACAGAATAGCTGTCCAACCCTCCTCAGTTCATCCACCACCCGCTGCGGGCTCTGTGAGCATGCTTGAACTGCCATCAGTATCCTTCCCTGAGTGGACAAAGGTGCTCAAGGGTGTAGAGAAGGTGCCCCAAATACTTCATGATTTGGACTACTTTGAAATACCAGGAATATTAGTAGATGCATTTGTCGTTTTGAAAATAGAGCATGAAGCTATTTTTCCCCTACTAAATGTTTTACAAATTTTGATCATCAAAATAATAAAAATGATTCTATTATTAATCTATTATTAATATAATCTCCATTTTTGAGAATATGATTTACTTACCAATAAGCTAGTTATTATAATTAAATTGATATCAACATTGGTGAACTATCTGTAGCTCACCCAGTTAGAGTTGTGTCAGGATGTTCATGACAGTCTGCAGATGATATACATAGTGGGGATAATATATGTAGTGGGTTAAAAAATTGATTCAAAGTTTGTAACAACATTTGTTTTGGGGAAGTACTTGTCTTTATTTAGAAAAATACCATGAAAAGTTTCTTTGAGGATGGTGAGCCGCTGAGGACACAGCCTTTTGGGTATTTCAGTGTGACAAAAAAGATTGCTCACCTGCACTGCAAAAGAGGGGAAATGTGGAGGGAGGCATGGGTACAAGAACAGAAGGCCAAAGTAGCCTTTTGTCAGCCTACTGGGTGGTGAAATTAGGACCTCAGAACAAGTGACAACCTAGGGATCCCTTCTATGGCCCTCAGGCATCTATCTCATTTTAAGCAAAGTAGGTATATCTTTGGGCTTCTGGGCTAGTGTTAAAAGAAACTAGGCTGGATTTGAAACCCAAAGTAAGTTTAAATAATAGCGTGCAAGACAACTGCCATAGTGTCACATATATACATACACACTGCATTCACATGCACACAAATACCGCTTCAGAGACCAGAATGGTGCTTTTTCTCACTTTGGATGTTTATGAAAACTCAAGTCACCATGTCTGAGAACTAGTTTATAGAATGAGCTGATTAAAAAGGTTTAAAAGTAGTGCTTTGATTCAATGACTTTACTAAACTTCCTGTTAACTGTTACATTTCAACAGTGATGGTCTAAAAATAATGACACTGAGAGTTACGATGCAATCCTTATTAATACCAAAATTTAAATTACCTTCTCTGCTAAAAGCCAGATTTGTTTTGTAAATCAAAAAACAGAGGCTGATCAAATCTCACTTTTACACTTTAATGTAGAAATTGCAAAGTTATTAGTTTGTAAAATGTATATTTTCCTCACTGAATTCAATCCCTTAACTATATTGTAAAGCCAGTGAAACAATCAATGTTTATAAAAGATCCAAATTGATGTGTGACCATATTTACCTCTGAGTAATTTCCACTTCATAAAAATGCTTTTAGTTTAAAGGCAGGAATTATTTTTGAGAATTTTGATCAATAGTCTCTCTCCCTCTCCGCGTCTGTTTCTCTCTTCCTCCAGTTGTGTGAAATGATCTGTTTTCTCCATTCAGTGGGTGAATCAAGATGAGTTAAGTTTCATTTTAAATCAAGTAGTAAAGAGGGGTGCCAGCTTCTGAACTGGAGTTGCACAATCCTATCTTCTCCTCTGAAACCCTGTATGCCCTCCAGCAAGTTACTTAACTATATATATCTGAACCTATCTCACAGCATTGTTCTCAGATTAAATGAGATTTCAAATAAATTGCTTAACAAAGTGCTCAATAAATAATATATATCTGGAACTATATACTGTACCAACTTGTTAAAGGATATTCTTAATTGATTTACAACCTGGTCAACATATGAAATCAACTGAATAATTTGATGACATAATATATGGTAATCAGTAAGGGAACACAATTCAGAGTTATCACTTCATAAATTAGTTTTAATATGTAAACTGTGTATTGTCTAATGCATTCTGAATCCCATCTGGCCTATGATTAATGAGATTAAATAAGGAATATATTGGTTCTATAATAAACTATATGGATTTGTCATTTAAGGAATAATTTCAAAATATCTACATTAATATTGCACGAATGAGATATCTTGCTAGATATATTTCTAAGGTAAGAACAGTGTTTGAACTAATTAATTTATGTTTTTTAAAAAAGTAAAATATTTTCACATTATGGTAATTGACAAAAACACATTTAAAAACAGTAATTTTGAGTTTTGCAAAAAGAGGAAATACAGAGAGTATTATGAGGCAAAAAGAAAGAACTCTTTTTTTTATTTTATTAACAAAGAAGCTTCTAATAAACAGATGAAAAGGAAGCTACTGGCAATTGATGCAACCTGTAACAAATGACCCAACTTGGAAGTTTCTACTGTTCTGTATCTGTTCCCAGGTGCTGCACAGGTGTCCTGGTGTAAGATATATAGGGACATGGATTCATCTAGTGTCTAGCACAGAGGTATTTAGCTTCTTTTTTATTTAATTTTTTTAAGTTGTAGATAGATACAATACCTTTATTTTATTTATTTATTTTTATGTGTTGCTGAGGATTAAACCAGGTGCCTTACATGTGCTAGGAAAGCATTCTACCACTGAGCCACAGCCCCGGTCCACTCTTTGGTTTCTAAAGTCTGCATTTCCCTAAAGAAAGAAATTGAAGAAGAACTTAAAACATGGAAAGATCCCCCATGCTCTTGGACAGGGAGAATTAATATTGTCAAAATGCCCATACTACCAATGCATACACAGATTTAATGAAATTCCTATTAAAATCCAGTGACATTCTTCATAGAAATAGAAAAAGCATTCCTGAAATTCATTTGGAAAAATAAAAGACTCAGAATAGCCAAAGCAGTCTTTAGTGAGAAAAGTGAAGCAGGAGGCATCACAATACCAGACCTTAAATTGTACTACAGAGCCACACTAACAAAAACAGGATAGTCTTGGCACCAAAACAGGCAAAAAGACCAGCAGAACTGAATAGAATACACAGAGAAAAACCCATATCTCATACTGGACAAAGGCAACATATACATACATTAGCGGAAATATAGCCTCTTCAACATGTGGTGCTGGGAAAACTGGAAATTCATATGTACTAGAATGAAACTGAACCCCTGGTTTTTACCCTGCACAAAATTCAACTCAAAGTGGATCAAGAACCTAGGCATTAGACCAGAGCCCCTGAACCTACTCAAAGAAAATGCAGGCCCAGTTCTTCATTATGTTGGCTTAGAAACTGATATTATCAACATACTCCTAAAGAGCAAGAAGTAAAATCAAGAATCAATAAATGGGAAGGTATCAAACTAAAAACTTCTTCACAGCACAGGAAACAATCAAGAATGTGAACAGAGAGCCGAGAGCATGAGGGAAATTTTTACCACCAGCATCTCAGACAGAGCATTAATCTCCAGGATATACAAGGAACTCAAAAACCTAACACCAAAACAAACAAACAACAACAACAAAACCCACAAATAACCCAATCAATAAATGGGCAAAACCCCCCAAAAAGACAAAACAACAACAACAACAACAACAACAACAAAAACTGAACAGGCACTTCATAGA